CTTACACATGAAAAATGTGATAGTTCACATTTTTCTCTGCAAGTATGTATAAAGTTTGGATTAAAAATATGGCTGAGCACTAAATGATTTTTCCTCATTTTCTTCCTTAATGTTCTCCTCTTTATCCCTTCTGGATTAAGAGCTATATTTTGCATTTTCTCCATTTCTGTTCTTGAAAGTAGCCTGCTAGATGTAAAACCTAAATAGTTGCAAGAAGTAGCTCCAATTTATGTCTGCAAATGAGCCCTTATCTTTGAAGTTTCAATAGCTTAAATGTATCTGGATGAGTGTTGAAGTCAGGGTTATAAGACCAGATTTTACGTGGAGATATAAAATATCTGCTATAGCCAAGGAAATTTTTCATATTTTAAATAGATTATTGCTGAAGTAGCTTTCTGGACGTGTTACATTCTGGCTTATCTCTTACCTTACTCATTCAGAAGATGAATCGGAGGATGCCTAACTGTTCTATTGATAGAATGTAACAGTTGAGGAAAGACTTATTCAATAAAGTATATGTCTATTATCTCTGTCACAATGGAATATAGGAAAGTAGCATAAATCTGGGTTATCATATTTCCTATAGGCAGTCTTGGAATATATTTGATATTGTAAAGGTCATCCTCTATGCTACAGGAAAGGTTGCATTTGGATATTACTATTATATGTAAAATGAATTTAAAAAATAATGTGCTGCAAACTCAATTAGTGAAAGATGAAAGTGAAAAAAATTCAATGTTTCTTTGCAATCACTGTTACCATGTAATTTTTACATTAAATTTGTCACATAAAATAATTAAGTCTAATTAATATTTAATGTGTAATGACTACCTACTCGGAAAACTTAATAACATTATAATTGTAATCAAACATAGTATGTAATCGGTGATTATTGCATGCAATCTCATATCAAATGGCTGTTATCTCCTTTGTTTTCCTAATTGGAACTTTAGTTCAACTGCTTCTTAGGTAATACCTCTGAAACTAAAGTGAACTGGCAGAATGTCAAGGAATCTGCTTAAGCTGAAATACAAAAGAGGTTTGAACAAAAATATTTTTAAAGGTTCAATATTTTAACATTGAGTTTACTACTAATAAGGCTACAGTGGCTCTTAAAAAATCAAAAATAATGTGATTCTCCCCATTTGTTCTTAGAATTGTTATGCTGCAGATGCCTGGCTCAGGAGGCAAAGACTTCTATGCTATGTTTTCTTGTGAACATGGATAATGACTGTTAATTCTCATTGTTTCTGTTCTAGATTTAAAGACAGCATGTATAATCAAAGCATGTCAATCATGTCTAATAGTTAAGTATTTACTTCCACTTTTCATGTCTTTACTTGTGGAGTAATGGTGAGCTGATCACTGTAATATTCTTGTGCTACATATGAATCATTGCTATAATCTTTTGGTACACAAACTAAATTTAATACATATTAGATTCAATTAAAAGCACCAATAGCTTTTGTCTGTTGCATAATAATTTAATGCCAAGATAAACCTGAAAGTTTCTAATACTCATATAAATATATAAGAAACATTTATTATATAGATGTAAGCACCATGTTCCATTGAATCTACCTTATTTCAGTTAAAAGGCAAAGTCAAATCTCAATAAAATAAACAGCAGGAAGGGGCACTTGAAAGGAGTGCTGTGGGGTTAAGGGTAAAGGAAGACACAAAAAGAAGAGAAGAGGGGAGACTACAATCAGGAATTCATTAAATTTAAGAAGAGTGAAGGAATGATATAAGTAATGGAAGGATGAGTGCAAACATTGAAAGGCATGAATGTTGAAAGGACATTGAGCAAGATATATTATATTCATAAGCCATTTTGTTAAATGTCAACTCCTTAGTACAATGACTTAAAGATTATTTTCAATAACAAAAGAATTTCATGTTCCACATTGGAAAAATGTAATCATGATTTTCTGTTTGATTTTATTATTTAACCCAAGACCAAAAAATTATAATAAATGTTGAAAATAACTTTCAAGAATGATGCAGAGCAAGTTATACTATATTGTAATCAATATGAAAATTTTAATCTTAAGTTTTAAAAAATGTACAAATAACACAATCATATAAGATGAAATTGCCAACAAATGCTAATGTAACACGTTTGACATTAAAAAATATGAGCAGATAAGGAAAGTAACAGTACCTTTACAACAAAGAAAATACAATGCATTACAATTTAGAGAATGAAATTAAAGCACTGCCTAATAGAAAAATTTAGTTATTTAAGAAAACATGACTTACTTAAAATAATTATCTAGCACAATAAGTATTTGAGACAAAATAAGATCAATCAAAAATACAAAAAAGAAAGAAAGTATTGAAAGTATAAATAAATTTTCAAAATAGAAAACAAGAAAATGATCCAGAAGTTAACACAATTGTAAATTATTACTATGAAAAGATTAGTCATTTCAAAATACCCACTATAGAGAAATAAAAGTATTTCCAACAAGTGGTGAATTTTTAAGTATACATATGCATGGAAACTAATGGACAATGGTTTAAAAAACAAAACTCAAAATGTCTCACAGAACTTTCATAAAACCTAGGTTTGCAGAAGTCTAAAAAGAAAGCATAGCCATAAAACTTTAAAAAATTTAAATTAGGTGATGATTTCTTAACTAGAACACAAAAGGCATTATACATATAATTTCAATTTGACATATTTGGTAAAATGAGACTTGGGAAATTTAAATAGTTTTGCTCTTCATATTTAAGAAGCCAAAGGAGAAAATAAGTATAGATAAAAGAATGTATATGGCCATATTATATAAAAATATAAATTTGAAATAGAATTTTAATCTCAAATACTGAAGTTTACTATATGCATACAATAAAAGGAACAAATATAGTAAGTTATTGTATGTTTTCTTCAATGTACATTGATTGAAATAGCTCAGCAGAAACAATTCACATAATGGAAAAGAACATTTGTAAACCATTTAATTTGGTAAGAACTTAATATCCAAAGTATATTATCAGCTTAACTGAATAGAAATGAAACATGCAAGAACTTTGAAAATAGGCATACAACTTGCCTAGACATGTCCTCTAAGAAAACACACACTTATCAGCAGGTCATGGAAAATGTCTGGCAGTGTTAGAACTTAAGAACATTTCAATTGAACTCATAATGATGTATCAGTTCCTACTGGTTCAAACACTTATCAAGGAGGTGAAATATGAGTATTGGAGAGGAAGCAGGGGAAAGGGAATTTATAGACAGTATATTGTTTCCAAGTGTATAACTTAATGAAGCCACTATGGAAAACAAGACAGCTTTCCAACAAATTGAAAAGAGAAATAACATACAGTCAACTAATCCTTCTTCTGAGTGTGTGCCCAAAGGAAATATCCTAGAGATAACTGCATTTCCATGTCTACTGTAGAAAAATTCACAACAACAAAAGTGTGGTATTCAATTAACTGTCTTCTGACAACGGAATGCAAGACATACTGGGTGGACAGAAGGAAATACAAGTGAACCCTCAAAAAGGGAGAAATGCTGTCATGTGTAAGAACATGAATGATTCTCATGGACATTAGTTTAAAAAATAAAATAATCTGGGCACACATAGATTTTACTAGCTTATGCAGTCAAAACTGAACTCCATCAAAAACAAGAAAGAATATACATTAAAAAAAGTAAATCTGGCCTATATACAATTTCAAACTAAAAAATAAAAACTATTTTGAATGTATGATGAGTGTTTTTTAAGTTAATTTCAATTTTGTTGACTTGAAAAATGAAATGTACTTACAATGAAGGAAAAGTTTCAGGATAGATAAGTAGGTAATAAAATTTTGCTAAGGCAATTCACATTATTTTGTGTCACTTCTTTCTATATTCTCAGTAATATCAAAACATTGAGTCTGTTTGCTTACTAAGACATTTGTGATGTTAATATAGATGACCTTCTTGGGAGCGACCTACAATTAATTTTCTAAATCTATAAAATATAAAGCAATACAGCTTACTTAGAAAAGTCCTTGTCAGAATGTTTTTATAAGGGTGTTCTGAATGAAAAATACATTTCATTTCACAGTTATTATTGCTTTCAATCAATATTAATGTAGACAAAATGCTCCAATAACAATATTTCTCAACTCAAACATTTCTACTAAAGCATCCCTGTACTTTCAAGGATAAGGGAACCTCAGAATTCATGATTCATAGATATTCACTGAGAATGGTATTGAAGATCTACCTTTTAAATAATGTATGAGAAAAATATTTTAAAATTCCATCATTTAGAAATACCAATAAATAAAAATAAATTAAATAAAAATACATAAAATCCCAAATAATGGAATTTTAAAACATGACCTAACTTATGTAAGTTTAACCACTCTGTATACTATCTTTAAAATAAAATTTAAAAATTCCACGTATCTAAAATAAATTAAAAATCATAGTTTACATTTGTATTCTTTATTAGCAATATCACAAAATTGTGAAAGTTAAAGCTATACTTTCAACAATTCTTATAGTGAGGATCCCATATTACAGAGGAAAAATTATTCACTTTTAATGAGCTATAAGCTCAAATGTGTTTCACTGTATTTACAAATGTTTCATATTTTATATGGGCATAAAATAATTCAATAGAAAAATTTAGTAAGAAATGAAAACAGCACATTTCTGGGGAAGAGAATTCTCATTTAAAAAGCACACATGTAGATAGATGTACAAAGGAAATTTGAACAAATGATTATTAAAAACTGAAGTGGCTCATTTGGTTCTATGTTTTTGGTTAAATATTGCAAAAAGAAGACGGCTCCAATTCTCAGAATGCATCATTAAATAGCCCTGTGAACTGTGCCTTAGCAACCACTAGATGTCTCTAATAACTGATGTTCAATCCTGAAGCTGTACTGATAAATTAACTTCATATGCATTTTTACTTCCTTATAGGAACTTCTCTTTTCCAAAGCCGACAAAGCTATTTTAACAAACGTTCAAGCTGAAAGTTACTTACATTCGATATCAAGGTACATGCTCTTTTGGTGTCCTCCAATTCTACTCGCAGCCTCGCAGTCATAACGCCCCGAATCTGACAACCTCACATCTTTAATATGTAGTGCTGAACTTCCGTGGCGCCCTTTGACTTCCATGCGTCCATCTGGGCTCTGTTAATATCAATTCAGAAAAAGAGTGAGAGAAAGATTGTAAGCTTGCTTGTGTAAAGAACACACTCATGCCTACATTTTTCTTAATTTACAACAGTAATATTTCTGAAGTTTCGATTTACTGTTTTTACCTTATACATTCTATTTGCTCATCTGCTTGTAGAAGTACTGACATGTAATAAATACTTGGACACGTAGTTTATTAACCAATTGCTTTCATTTAGCATAATGTTTGCTTATTAAAAAGCCTGCATGTTCAATCTTCTTAGAGTAACTTTTGTTGGATTACAATTATTCCTTGAGAGCATATAAAGCAACAGAATTGCTTCTTCTTCAGTTCTATCTAAAACTTACACATGATATGTATATTTATTTAGTATTTTGGCTGCCCATTCTGTCGTTTAAAAATTACAGTGTCCTTAGGAAGACACTTTAGTTTTTCTATAAGTAAAATAGTAGTGTTTATCTGTAAACTTTGCTCCATGTGCATCACAGGTAGCTATGAAAACACAGTCATCCCTAAGTTATTCTTGGGAAGTCAGTGTAACACTATGGAAATGATTAATCTGGTTTTCCAGAAATACATTTTATGGATATAAAAATTTTATCTATTTATTTACATACTATAAGTAACTGTAAAAAGGGTTTTTAATTCAACATGGTGGTTTGTGAGTCTGATTCATATTGTTTATAATTCAATAGTCTATAGATTTTTTTTAATAGCAATTAGTATTTACAACTAGGTTGGCATACCTAGAATTGTTTCTTAATTTCCAAAATCCTTTGAAGTAGTCACAAATAAGCAAGTAATTAATTCTTTCAATTTTATTTCTCAAAACAAGGAAGTATAATGAGCTTGTAACATTTTATAATTTATTAGGTACAGATGAATTATTTTATATGAGTTGATTCTTATCAAGATTTTGAGTTTTTATTATCTCAGTAATATATACGATACACATAACATTAAAATATTGCATTCGGTTATAATAAATAATATTTATTATAATAAATATGATAAATGTGATCAGACTGAGGTGAATTTGAATACATGTGTGAAAATGGTGCCAGGAAAACATGGCTTTTTATCAACTTACTTTTAATCACATAAAAATAATATTTCAGGGCTGGGAAGGTGGCTCAGTGGTAGAGCGCTTGCTTTGCATGCTCAAGGCCCTGGGTTCGATTCCTCAGCACCACATAAGCAAAAAAAAGGAAAAAGCCGGAAGTGGTGCTGTGGCTCAAGTGGTAGAGTGCTAGCCTTGAGCTGAAGAGCTGAGGGACAGCGCCCAGGCCCAGAGTTCAGGCCCCACGACCGGACCCAAAAAAAATAATATTTCAATAATTTTTAAACATAATTTATGCCCCTAAAATCAGTTTTGTCTTAATTTCATTTATCAATGAGGTTATTATACAATCTCAAATCTTTGTCAAATTATTCATAGATTAAATGCTATTGAGAAAAATTGTCTTAAGGAAACAGGATAAGTAAGAATTTCTGTACCAATTTTTTTTCCCTCAATACTCAAACCTAACTCAGATAGTAGTAAAATAAGGTAAATAACTTAAAATGTCCTTAGTTTTTGGTTTGTAAAATATCTAGCTTCCCAATTCTTTTAATTGAGAGAAGAGAATTTATCAGTTTGCAGAAGTTAAATTTATACATTTTATCTGCCAAAATTACAATTTCTTACAATGGATAATTAAAAGTTTTTGAGCACCTATTTTTACTGAGTCCCTTGTAGCTATGTTTGTAGTTAGACCCGCTGGTGCTCCCTTTGGTAAGCCCTTTTTTAGAAAGATGTTCTCATTTGCTGTAATTTCTCCCAATTACATATCTGATTCCCTATCATCGATGACAATACAGACTCTTAAGTAACTCATGAATTTTGTCTTGGATGTGGTTCTCTTTTGGTTCATACACACTTCATTGATGTACCCGCCCATACCTAAATTGAGGATTTTCAGTCATTCTTTCTCCTGATTTGATCCACTCTTCTTTGTACCTTCTGAACTTCACAGTTCACTTCAAGTAAATGGATACATACTCCAACTAACATGAACAACCTTTGCTATTGTTGTTGATAGTCTTTCCATTTATTCTAGATTAGTCTTGATCTTGCAATCCTTCTGCTCTGACTTCCTGAGTGCTGAGATTCAGATAAGAATCACTATACCCAGTGGTTATGGCAGTCTAAATTCATCTCTGCCCTGATACACACACACACACACACACACACACACACACAGAGGGAATATGGAATTCACTGTTCATAGGTTTCCATAAATGGAACTAATCATTTTCCATGCCCTTAGCTATGACATAGGCTCAATCTTTGACTTCTGATATTTATGTACTTATTTATGTATTTTTAATAAGTGTTGAGTTATTTGAGTCTGTCATCTTGCATGACATTGGTGTTCCATTTCTAGCAAACTGTGTTTCTTTTCTTTTAAACTCTGTGGACTTTTTAATTCTTTTATTATCTTTAACTGTAAAAAAAAAAAAGTCATTTAACAAAGCAGTTCAAAGCAGGCACCAGTGGCCCACGCCTGTAATCCTAGCTACTCTGGAGGCTGATTGCTGAGGATCGCGGTTCAAAGCCAGCCCAGGCAGGAAAGGCCGTGAGACTCAGAAACGTTCAGAAAACCGGAAATAAAACACTCAGAAAACCGGAAGTGGCACTGTGTCTCAAGTGGTAGAGCGCTCACCTCGAGCTGAATAACTGAGGGACAGCACCCAGGCCCAGAGTTCGAGCCCCAAGACCGAAAAACAAACAACAACAACAACAACACACACACACATACAAACAAAGCAGTTCAAGCATCTTTAAAATTGTCACACCTTTCAACAGTCTCACCTTTATGTATTTGTTTTAACCAATCTCTTTCTGCTTCACCTATTCACACATTCTAGTTTCCTGATTTAAAGAATACTGACAGGTGTCTGTAATTCAGATAATAACTACGTTTCCATATTGAATGTGACCAAGAAAGACTTCCAATATATTCAAAAGACATTCATATATGTTCATGTTTCTCCGGCCAAAGCATTCCCAGATACCTAAAGAATTTCTTTTCTTTCTTGAAACACGTTTTTTTTTCTTTTTAATTTACCTTATTGCTGTTTTACAAGCTATATACAGAGGGGTTACCTTTACACATGTCAGGTAATGAGTACATTTCTTTTCGTATAGTTGTCATCTTGCTCCCTCATTCTCTTGCATTTCTTCCCTCATATCTTCACCCATGAGTTGCATAGCTGACTTTCAACAATGTCCACTGCTGCACGTTTTCACCATTTTTCCTCTGATTCTGTGTCCTCCCTCCTCCCACAGACGTGCACGTGAGTACACCATATATAAGGTACAGAATACAGTCATCAGAAAAAGAAAAAGTCCTTTGTTTCGTTTTTACAGTTATTTTTTGAGAAAATGTATCATAACAACTTCTTGACTATTTCATCTTACCTGGTATAAAAACATAAATACCACCACCCACTTAAACTCTAATCTTTCACCTTGATGTTTAAGTATTTTGTGTCTTATAAGCTTTCTTCCAAGTATGCTTTTTATTTGGGGTATCAAACTGCATTCAAGCAATAATTACTTCATAAAAAGTAAATATCAATAAATTATGAATGCAGGATACAGTATTGATATGAAGATAGTTTACATTCTGCTATTATCTCAATTGAAGTCTTTTTTCTTAGCTAAATAACATTTTCCTCAAACAATATTGGTAAAATTTTGAATTGCTAATTGTATTCCAAACCTGAAATTCTTTATAACAAATATCAAAACCATGATCAGTTAATAAATGACTTTAAATGACATTTTCATTTTAAAATATTTCCAAAATTCTTTCTAAAATATTTTTAAAAGACATGTGGGCTGGGAAGGATTTCAGAAAGTCATAAATGATTGAAAACCCACCTCTCAGCAAGCCCAAATGCATCAGAAAGATTTCCAGCACAGCTAATTATATTCTACCACCTACATCTGAGAAGTATCCATTTTGCCTATTGCCCAGCAGGGACCTATATTATTGCTCTAAGAGCACTAGCATGAAAAAATGCATTAGATTCGATCTTAAAAATGCCATTCAAATAAAAAATCCTTCAGAAAAGCCCATTATCTCTAGAAAGAAAATATGCAGGTGTTAAAATCTACAGGTGCTGAGAGATACTAATATGATATGTAGCATTCTTCTCTACAGTCAGAAATTGACTCTTTTTTTTTCCAGTCTAGAGACAGTAACCTAGGAATTTATCTTTACTATTTTGTCAGTTATGCAGAAAATCTAGATAGAATGTGGATGTTAGAAATATCTGACCTAGCTCTAAAATAATTTATTAGAAAGTAGAAGAATAAAAATAAATGGAAAATGCCTAAATTTGATCAGGATATACTCAGGAATTTAAAAAGTGTATCTTTAAACTTGTTTTTATTGAGGTCACCAAGAGGTCTTTTGAGTAAGGAAACTTTAGGAATTGTAGAAAACTTATAAATAGATGGCCTTACAAGTTAAGCAATTAATCTGCCATTGTAATTCATCATTACAATTATAATTTGCTATTCATTCATTAATCTTCAATATGTGTTGTCAAAGCTAAGAAGGATAGAGATTATGGAAATGAATTTCTGTTTATACTATCCTCTGGAAAATTATGTTTAATATCAAAACCCTAACTTTTTACATAAATATTTAAAGAATGTGCATGTATGTCACAGTCTGTGTGTGCATGTGTGTCTTTGTGATGGAATAATAGAATTACTCAACTATACAAGATCTCTTTAGGGAATACACAGAACCATCATTAAACAATTGCAAAATAGAGATACTTTATATCTTCTACATATTTTTAAAGCTTTTACATGAAAAAGTAGGTATTCTTCTAGCTAGAATAATGAATATTTCTGTCAAGTTAGCATTCATTGTAATTGAAGCTTTGGTATGTTTTATTTCAGTATTTGTAAAACATATGATTGATTATTTTG